GGGGGGGGGGAATGCAGCTAGTGGGTGAACCTAATCAACCATCCATGTGGATGTGCAAATAACAGAAATTTTAGCTTTGTCGGGGTAGAAAATAATCCCACCAAAAAACCAACAGGTTACACTGGTAAGAAAATGTACTGAATCTAACAAAAAGTCCATGATGCTCTTAATGAGAAACTGGAGTTGGGCTTCCCTCCTTTTATTTGGTAGAGGAAGTAATATGGTCCTGGTGATACACTTTTATCTGGGATTCCTAAAAACCCTAAGTACACGTTCTTTGTAAATAAGAGGGTCTATCAAACTTTTATTTGTCCTAAAATTGTTCTATGTTTCATTTGGCAGAATCATTCCTTCATGATCACCCTTTTTTGCCTTTCTGTGACAGTTAAAATCAGATTAAACTAAGCATCAAGGAAAACACTGACACAAATAAGTTAAAAAAAAAAAAACAGAAAGGAGGAAGTAGGCTTCTCCATTGTAGCTGGTGATGCTGGAAGTTTCCAGGATTATGAATTAGGAGAAATGGGGAAAAACAGATACACAGACACATAAATGCTTAAGCATTTATTTATCTTAAAAATTACTGAGCACCTTCTGCATGCCAGATGCTGTCCTAAGAGATCCAGCACTCAACCACTCTGACGTTTCTCATGGGAAAACATTATAGCTGGGAGGCAGTGGAGATAAGTGAGCCTAAATTAAATTAAAATATAACATGAGGTGGTATTAAGAGCTATGACAAAAAGGAAGCAGGGCAAGAAGTGGCAGGGAGGTAGCGAGGTCTGAGAAGGCTTCTTTTAGGGAGTGCCATCAGAGCTGATACAGTGCGGGCAGGGGGCAGGCCAAGTGGCCACCTGTGGGAGGGAGGGGGAGAGGTGGCCACAGGTCAAGGCCCAGAGGTGGCAATATGAGTGCAGGCCGCGGGTATTGGCTGACGTACACATCTAAGTGAGACAGGGAGCCATGAGAGGACTCCGCGTACGGCATCATCTATGCCTTAGCTACAAAATAGAAAAGTGTCATTAGAGAAGAATGAAAACAAGATCAGCTGGAGGCAGCAATAGCACAGGCAAAGGTGGTGGGGCTGGGGCCAGAGTGGCAGCAGCAGGAGGACTATGTGGCCAGATTCTGATGATGTTTTGAAAGTAAAGCAGACAGGATTGTTGAGGGACTGAAGGCGGTGTTTTGAAAGATACGGCTCTTACCTTTATCCCCCTGGAGACGACGTGCATTTCTAAGGAGGAGCTGGAGGAAGGAACAAGGGTAGGGATAGTGGGAGGTCAAGACTGATCTGATATACATTAGGCTTAGGATGCCTGTTAGTCATCAAAGTAGAGGTGGCTGGTGAGTCACCAGATACGCAGGTTCTGGGGAGGAGCATTAATAAGTGAGGTGCAGATACAGAGAAGCAGATGAGAACTGCATGCATGTGCTTGTGTGATGTGTGTACACCCCCACAATGAACGAAGGAAAGTTCAGGGACAGCACAGAAAGGGAGAAACTTGAACACTCTATGTACTTCAGCACCACTTGAAAATACTGTGAGAATGCATTACTTTAGTAATAAAGAGTCCTCATTTCTTCTGTTTCCCCAATAAAATAATCAGCTAATGACAAAATAATAAGCTGATGAAACAAATTTAACTCAGAAATGCAGAGGTAGCTAAAGACTGTGAAAACAACACTCACAGACAGCCGCGGAGTGGCTTATTTCCTCCCAGCTGTTCCCCTGACACTTGCACACACACACGGGAAGGGTTTGTAAGTGCAGTTCAGCTCAGCTTGTTTGTTTTCACACACACGAGATACGCTGAACTCAAAAGTGACGGCCATAAGATGCATTTTCTGTTTGGTTTTGGATTCGTTTTCATGCTTTTACAGCCACTTCGCCGCGCACCTCGCTGGCCCAGGGCCCTGCCTCCTGCCCCTGCTCCCGGACTCCGCGGCTGGGGCCGCCTGACACAAGCGGAAGCGTGTTTTCACCTCATAGGGAATTATTTGCAAAGCTAACTTCTAAATGGGCACCTTCATACACGCTTCCCTGTGCACATGTCGAAGGGAGTGTCAAACCTTTAGAAAGCCGCGTCAGCACCACCGCAGGGGGGCCGGTGTAGGCACCGAAGAGTGAAGGCTCCGACCAAAGACGCCCTCCCTTCAGTTCATTCAGCGGTACCTGCCCCGAGCCGGCGTGCGTGCGTGCGTGCGTGCGTACGTGCGTGCGGCGTGCGTGGAAGGGCAGACGCAAAATTTCTAAAGACAGTTTCCCACGGTGAAATGGGCTGTAATTGGAGTAACCACACGTGAGGCCGTGGCGGGGAGGACCGGAAGCAGGAGCGGAAGTGCTCTTTAGCTCAGTCCGCAGAAAACCCGCCCCGGAAATGGCGTTTGGGCCGAAGCCTCAGTGAAGAGGCGGGGGCGGACGGGTACCCTGAGCGCAACCCAAGGGCAGGGAAGAGAGCACGAGGCCCTGAGACAGCAAGGAGCACGACAGGAGGGAGGACCCAAGGACCGCGGCCTGGCCGGGGCATCTTGGGAAGCGGGGGCAAGCCACGGACGGCCTCGGCGCCACAGCAAGAATCTGGGTGCTCATCCTCACTGGAGTAAGAACTTACTACAGCGTTATAAAGAGGGCGGCGAAGTGTTCAGACGCAGGGCCAGTTGAGGACAGGAAGAGAGCCTGCGATGGAATGAGGACCCTGGGGCTGCGGGGCGGGCACCTCCGCCCACACGGTGAGCGAACTCTCGGGGCTCCGCCGGCGGCCGTGCACGGAGCGGAGCCAGCAGGCAGCGCGGCGCCCCGACTCACACTCACCCAGGTTGGGATCGGCAGCCTGGCGTTTCTTCATTTTAGCTTCAGAAAACGCAGAGTAATAGGCACAAGTCATCTTGATCAGCCACGTTGCTCGAACCATTGGCACTGAGTATTTAGCTAAATATGCAAAAACATCCTCTTTTTTACTAAGGATGGGAACCTGAAAAGAAATAACATATTTGTAATAATCACATACTGTGTTCACTGTTAGGCAACAGAAAAGAGACTATTTAGTTCCTTCTGGTTATAAAAAAGTATATCCTTTTTTTAAAAGTATATCCTTAATGGATTTTAAGCAAATTTTCACTAAGGAAAAATAACCAAAACTATGTTTAGCACATTGGCAACACAATTTTATCAGCTGTGCTTTCTTACTTACAAAAACAAATTATCTGCAAATTACCAGATGATCATCGTATCAACAAAATAGAAAAAATAATTTTACGACAGTCTTCCGAGTTTATCTTGAAATTAGAACAAACAGGTCAAGCGAAAAACTGTTGCCACTCTACATTTTATCCAAGAACACTTTTTTATATAAAGCTTTCTGACTGTACCATTTCATAAGAATTAACAATTTGCACAAAGCTTCTTAAAGTGCCTTTAGCCCAAAATTTAAAATAGAAGCTAAAATGATGGAACAGTGAATCAGCCTAATAAACACTGAGCTGGAAACAGCTGGGTAATTAATTGGATGACATAAAGTAGGCACTGGGGGCAGTTTCCTCCGGACCACAAAGGTACTATTTAGCAAATTAGTATCCCCATGTACCACCACATGGTTTGGAGGAATTAATCCACTCTTAGAATTCCTCATAAATATCCCAAGACCAGCTGGCTCATCTATATACAGTCTATTCAATTTCTGAACCTAGAGTAGGAATGGACAAAGGCTTGCTGGCTGTGCGCAGCAGGACTGAAGCAGCAACATGAGAGAGGCAGGCACCCTCCCACAGGAGGGACCAGTGCCTCTCTCCATTCCTGGCACCAGCCTGTTTGGTTAAACCCATCCTTGCCAGGCTCTTCATTTATGAATGCAATAATGTCTACCTGACTAAGTTAGAAGGGTAAAGCAAAGAATTACATATATCAAAATTATAACAATTTTTGTTTTGCTGCCAGTTCCAAAGATTTCTCCATGCCAGCCAAAGTGTTTCGAAGCCACGAACTTTACCCCCTCCTAAGAGGATCCTAACACCACAAGCATGGACCTTGAGAGCCTTGGTGTCTCTGCCCCACACTCTTGTTTGATTTTGTGTTGGAAATCAAGGCTTCAAACCAGCTAACTGCTTCATATAGCATAGCATTTTTCTGCTAACCAAATCCCCATTTAGTCAGTGGATATTCGCGTCATATGTATGTTATAAATTTGGCTATCCACACATTTGGTACAAAGTGTGATCCCAGAAATAAAAGATAACTATTTTTTATAAAACAAAGCGATGTCACCTGATTTCACTTGAAATCACCTGGATCTTACCAAAGAAATATCAAGCTGCTCCAACAGTGAAGGAAAGCACAGTGTATCCACATACTGAGTCTTATGGGCCACTAAATAGACTTCTGATCATGTGTAGTTCCTGCCTTGGGTGCCGACTTGAGAACATACCCCCAGGACAGAGGCAACTATGAGTCCAAACCTCACTGAAAGGGAGCTGAAGATCACAGGGCAAAACTCTAAGGCTTCCTTTCTGCAGACCACAGCAATACATTTTAACAAGATAAGTTCTTGAAAATGTAGCTTACAAGGCACATCTCTCAGGGAGCACAAGGCTCGGGTTTATTATCATTTATTCGGTTCAAGACCTGAGTGGTTCCTTCTCACTCGGAACACACAGTTTGGTGTCAGCGAGTTAAATTTCCACTGCCAAGGTCAGGCTGCATCAGACATACCAAAGATCATAAAACCACAGCCTAAAAAATAGGCAAATGCAGAAAGTCAAGTTAGCATCGCCAAGGAAACACTAATAGTACTTTTTATAGATGCCTAAAGGAGCTCTTTTGAACAGCAGTTGACAGGAGGAGACAAAAAACATTTTGAACATGTGAAATGTTTAGATGAAATAGCAAACAAAACTGAGCCACAGGTCTTATGTTAACAACAGAAGGCAAACCTCTAGCTTAGCTCATTGCTCCTATGGCAGAGCCCTAAGAAATGGTCGATTCAAATCAAGGGCTTTACAATGCAGAAGAACATATGTGAAGAAAGTTATTTAATTAAGGAAAAGACACACATTGATGGTTTTGTCAAATTTATAGTTTGGGCCAACTCAGAAAGGAAAATACATTTACCCTGAATGATGTATGACTTCTGTACAGTGATGGATTCTATTTTGAGCAAAGAAACCGTCTGACTTGAACTTGTAGCTGAACCTAGGCAATCCTTGGCAGCTGTTTGGTGTCTGAGTCAAGCTAGAGCTGCATGTAAGTACCAAAGGAAAACTAAGACACCTAGCGTTTGATGGTTTTCCACCCTTGCATCACCTTTCCCCTCAGATGCACGGTACCATCAGTATCGACTACTCACTAAGCAGTGGTACAGGCCAGAGGAAACCCCACAGCCCACACTGCTCCATCACCTGAAGTGAGCACGTGATAACCAGTGAACTGTGCAAGAGCCAGAAGGATATCCCTAGGACCAGAAGTCTCCTTTTCCAAATCCAGCCTTGACCATGACTGAGTTAAAAAGCCTGTCACAGGCCACTATTCCGCTCTCCGTGGCTACATACTTGGAGTGCTGTGCAGCGTCACAGAAACAAACCCAGGCCCAGAAACCTGACCCATCCCATACAGGCAACTATTCTGACCTCTCAGAGTGGGAAGATGGCTCAGGATCTCAGCAGGAAAATGAAAGTCTTCTGCATTAAGCCATCTCAGATAAATGCCAGAAATTAAGGAATTACTTAAACTTTCTAATATGAAGAGCATGCAGAGAATATAATCTTTTACCAGTTCAGAAAGAGATTTTGCTGTCTCAAGAAGATGATATGCTGAAGAGGGGGACAAACTTCTGAAATGCCCAAGAAATGAATACTTCAAGGTACATTCAATGGTCTTATAAAGAAAACATCTTTAACTTCGCAAAAAATTAATGTCAGGGCTTACCTGAGGAACACCTGACTTGGCCAGAGGCAGCTCCTAATAAAGAGAGAAGAACATTGGCTAATACACTGCACTGTAATTCACCTCCCTCCTGAGAGATGGGACCACTGCACCCCTAAAGCAAGGGCCTCAATTTCTCACCAGTACGTCCTTCCGGGAAACGCCACAAAATGCATTCCAAAGGCTTTTAAAAAGGAAAACCTAAAAGGAAAACTGTCAGGCTGGCCACGTGGGAGTTGGAGGTACTGACAGACACAGAGGGTATGGACTATGGTTAGAAAGTCAGTGAATACCGAAGGATCCCCTCTAACTTGTCTGGCCTCCGGATACCCTTCATAGGCCACAGTGGGCCCACGTGGACATGCTCACCGCTGGAAAAGAGACGCTGCACGGTTCAGGCTGTGTGGAGATAGGCACTACCTGAGGAGCAAGAGGTGGTAGTGCTGACTGTTGTGCTTTTCAAGGACTTAACTGCCTTTAACCACTGAAATCCATGGAAGGCAACAGAATGCTGACTCTCAGGCAAAATAAGGGCAATGGGAGCTATGGGTACTCTTTCCAAAGAGCTGCTTTAGAAACCAAACAAGCAGATACACAAAGGAGCTCTCCTCTGAACTGGGCCTGCGCCAAGCCAGATGATGAAAACTTACTATCAGGAACAGAAGACGGGCACCCCTAAAACTAAAGGGTTCAGGGGAGATGAGAAAGACCTGCCGGATTACTTGAAAGGTGCAAGAAGCCAGAGAGCAAGACTAACGGGGTTTCTAGCTCTCATCTACATTTCAAAACACAGTTTATAGTGTTAAGATTGTTGAATCTGTGTATTGTTTCCCACTGGATTGAAAGGACCAAGGCAAGATTTTAAAAGAACCCTCCCTCCTCCCACCAGCCGCCCAAAAAGCTAGGAGCTATCTGTAAACCTGCCGATTTTGCTCTAAAACTTTTTCAAAGAAGCTTTTCAAGCACACACAAAATCACTATCACTATCTATATACCATGTGTTAGAAAGGAGACTTCACTTAAAGCATGTGGATGGTTACTTTCCAAGGCAAGGAAGTAACAAAGCCAGGATTCCTACATCACACACTATGAACATCCTGGGCTAAGAAAGCTGAAAATGTAATAGAAACATCATCTTACTGCCTGTTTTTGATTTAAAAACCTTGTCTACCTAAAGTCCACCTGAACTGCTCCCTGTGTGGATGTTTAGGTCTAGGGATGTCCTTGGCAACACAGGTCATCAAAATAAAGAACAAAATAGCATACATGCAGCACGCACCTGGTGCAGTACACCTGCCACTGAGGCTTTGAGTTTTGGAGAGAATTGGGGGAAAGAAATATTTACTTGAAGATTATCTCAAACATCTTCATTTCTGTAAGACCACAATTAAAACAATGTAAGAAAAACTTAATACCTTTTTTGCCAAAATAGCAAGTGGTTTATTTCCTGCTAAGTCAGAGAACCAACTATGAATTGCACTCTGCGATCGAGCAGTAACCAGCCAGTAATTATCTTTAGCATTAACTTGTGGCTTCTTCTTTCCGGTGTCCTGGAAAGTGTTAAGCTTTAGTTTCTCAGCTAATATGCTGCTAAAATAAGCTCCAATCTGAGAAAACAAAAAAGAGAAAAAGTTAAAAGAAAATAAGTATGTTAATTTCACTTAGCATAGTACTTTCTAGGTCCCTCCATGCTGTCTCAAAGGGTAAGAGATCCTTCCTCTTTACAGCTGCGTAGTATTCTATGGTGTGACTGTCCCACAGCTTTTTTAATCCACTCATCTACTGATGGGCACTTGGGCTGTTTCCAGATCTTGGCTGTTGTACATTGCACTGCTATTAACACAGGAGTGCACATATTCATTCTGATTGGTGTTTCAGGTTTCTTAGGATATATTCCTAGAAGTGGGATCACTGAGTCCAATGATAGTTCCATTTCTAATTTTTTGAGGAAACTCCACACAAAAAAAGGATGTTAATAATGTATATTAGTATTTTATTTGTATCATTTTAATTGAAAATCTTCAAACAGCCTATCAGAAAATAAAGTGGTAGTTTAAGAGTCTTGATTTCCTTATACTAACATATGCAAAAACTACCACACCTTTGCTCCTATTGACAAGTAGTTCAAGAGAGAAGAGCCTTTGAAAACCTCTGGTAAGATGAAATTAATTACATCCTGAATAAATGTCAAGAGAAGGGTTCTGCTTTAATCCCCCGCTGTACTTTGCTTCTTCATGCTACACACCCATTGGAGAGAATCTTCTTCCCGAGCGGGGCTTCGTAGAAAGCCTAGTAATCAATCACATGCAATCATTCTTTTTCTTGTTTCATCTTAATAGCATGTATTTTTGGAAAGCAAACTCTGTATTTACACTCAGTGCTTTTAAAAAGAGAGTCTAGAGAAATTTAATTTATTTAAATGGAAAATTGCAAGAGTCAACTAAATTAACTATTCAACATTTTTGATTGGGCTGCCAATTCCATGAGTACAAGTGTTTCAAGAGAAAGCTCCTGTCACCTGCTCTGAATGGAGCAAAGCAGCCAAGGGAGCTCCTGGGATTCGTGTAACATTTTCACATCAACCAAATTAAACTAGGACAAGGAAGGAGAAAGACAACAAAAAGGAGATGAAGTAATATTAAAAATTAAATAAATACGCAAAAAACCTGTTGGAATTTCCAAGAATCCTATCAAAGCATCACATTTCATTCCCTGGGAATTCTTTAATAATATGATGCAAGTTTATTAGTAATAGTTGCTAATAAATACCTCCAATAAGATTAGCAGACAGTGGCAACCATGATTAAAATAAAGTACCTACTCTGATGAAGCAAAGTAAGAATCACTGTCTTAGTTAATGCTCATGAGTCAAACAATTAGTCTACAGCTTGAAACAGGTGTAAGCAATTAGCCAAGTTCCTCTACCAGGGCGAAGAGCTGGGACTGCACGATTTTTTTAATGTGAATTTTAATTCTTTGATCCTTGTGATTAATGTACAATAAAAGGAAGTCTGTTTTTGGTGTGTTTATGTAAAATGGTAATAAAAACTAGAGTAACGGGGGGGAAAAGGTATAAGCTTTACTTTTTTAAAAAAACCACCTCAGTGGTTTTTTTAAGCAAATATTTGCATAATTGCCGAACAGAATAAAATGCAGAAGTGTAGCAAAAACCAGTTGTTTGAAAACAAACAGCTAATAATAACAAATTGTTTATTTTTTAATGTTTTTGTTGATTTGAGAGAGAGAGAGGAAGGGAGATGGTGAGAGAGTGGGAGAGAAAAACATCGATAGGCGGCCTCCTGCAAGCACCCAGATGGCCTTCGGACACTCAGCCAACTGAGCCACACCGGCCAAATTGTTTAATTTTAAATTTCTCAATCAATGGTTGGTCTTTGAACCATGGGCAGAAGACACCTACCTCTGCAGACTGCTTTACATTTTAAAGGTCTCTTATTTGCAATTATGTATGAGCATTTTAATCATCATAAACCAAGGCATAAATTTTTTTTAAAAAAACTAGTCTGAGAAACCCGTGTTATAATTATACTGTCTCCTCTGTACTTAACAGCAATGGAACATGGTGACTGTATGTCTGTTACTACCTAACGAACCTAGTGACCCACCGCACACTATAAACAAAGTCAAAATTTCCAAAACAACAAGACAGAATACAATGTACATTAGGACTTGGGGGAAAAAAATCAAATCATAATCACACATTTTATTGAAACAGCAATATATTCACATTGTTCTGAAATCAAGAACGATAAAGAGCCTCATTCCCAAGTCCCAATGCCTATCTCCAAGTCACTAACTTTGACTAGCTTCTGTTTCTTCATGTGAACACACACAAATACAAACATGTTATTTTCTCTTTCACATATGTACACCTCCTTCTGCACAATCAATAAGTGTCTGAGAGCTTCCATGTCTGCACAAGGACAGCTTCCCCAATCCATGTTTGCAGACACTGATAATGCACTGTGTGGATGTGCCACAATTTTTTTAAATTTACCTTTATTGTTGAAAGTATTATAGATATCCCCCTCCCCCCCATCC